TTAAAATATTAAAAAAAAATATACATTTATTATGCAGCAAAAGAAAAAAGGACTGATTTATTTTCTTTTTTCCAAATCAGCAAAACAAATTAGACTCCAACATGAGGAACATTGTGGCTGAAAATGTATATGCCTCATCATATCATCATTATAGAAATCAGTAAAAGAAGCATAAAAACATTTTTTTTTAATCTATATTTTAAAGATTATGTACACATGATCCATACACTTTTTCCAAAACGTCCAACACAGTAACAGGAACACAAACTAGAGAAAAAAAAAATGGACATCAAATTTGTAACTAGGCTAATTATGGATGTTTCTGAGAAAAAAAGAAACCTTTCAGTCAGTTTATTAATCTTATATTTCTCTACTTCCTTCAACCACAGACATGAACCAAGATGACTCAGCCTGACCTGATTTTCCCTGAGAGGGTACAGGACCAGATGGAGAGAAAGCAGAAATTGTAGCCCAGATCCAAACAGAGGGGGAGGGGAAAGGGGGCTGTTATTTAACCCGATTACATAGTAAACAGATTTTTGTCACTCGATCAAATACGAGTTGACCTTTTCCTAATTATCTCAGATTTTCTGTTTTCCCTGTTCCCAGCCATCGTCCCCGCTGCCCCTCCTCCACACTAATTTGTTCATTCTCAAACTTCGAGAACGAACAAGCATGAGCAAAACAAAAGCCTGAGTTGTGGAGAAGCACACGAGGTAAAAAGGTGAAGTTCTTTTCCAGCTGATTTTTTTTCCCCCTCTAAATATAGTTTCCTCTGATCTTTACTTAGCTTTAATTAAGAGTGTCCACTGGTCTGAACGTTAACAGGAAGATTAAACTGCACTGCCAGAGAGTTGATAACACAATGCCTTGTGTTTAACTTCTTAATCCCCCTGATGTTTGCACACTTAATGCAGTCAAAAAAAAAAAAATCTCTTTAAGCACCGACTTTCAGAATCAAAACTTGTTTGGGCATTTACTGTGCAAATATGTATCCGTTTTTAAAATTGCCTTTAAACTGACTTAATGTTTGATTAGGAAAAGTAAACGTTTTAATGTTGCTTTTTTGCTTTTATTTAAGAGTTACTTCCTTTGATTGTTGAAAAGTATGTTGTGAAAATATTTTTTTTTTCCCACTCATGAGCCCTACACCATACATAAATCTGTATTTAACAGAAGCACAAACAAGAAAACGGCAGTAAATGCCGGAAATAAGGGAGGGGAAAAAGAAAAACTATGCCCCGTGTGAGGCTCGAACTCACGACCTTCAGATTATGAGACTGACGCGCTGCCTACTGCGCCAACGAGGCTTGAAGCACACTGCCGCTGCTGTGGTATAAATAGTCGGGGGAGGGCGGTGCTTGCTGAGAGAAGAGTGACACAATAGCTCCTGCTTGCGGGGGAGGAACACCGGCTCTAACCACCTACTAAAAGCACTGCTTCTACATTAACCGTCATTTTTAGAGTACATAAACAATATTTGAATTATACCTTCAAATAGTGAAATACTTCTAAGCTGCTTTTATTTAGTGTTTGTCTTTAATGTCCCTCTTAGAGACCTACCCTAACATTTAGACTGACGTCAATCCTGTTGAGCAGGATTTGTTTAACATCTAGGTCTAGAGTCACCCTTAGGTCATGGGAAATTTCAGACAGGGGCACAGAGCGGCCACTGGAAAATAAGCACTGAAACTTTGCCCCATGTTGAGAGATTCTCTGTATTCCAGCTTCTTTTCATGTTAAACAATTATTAGTTCTACCGGGAATACGTCCAATTTATATCTGCTACAATTGTCCTTGCCACTAAAATCAACATATTCACAGCAAAAATTGCATACTGCCTGGATTTAAATGAACAAGTAATAGTAAAACCAAGTTAAACAATTTTTGCTGTTCCAAAAGGTGTTTCAAAGAGCTTTAATAGAACCCTTTGTACATATATTCCTCTTATAGCAGCACCTCACTGCTCCTGTACATGGTTCTTTGTCAGTTTTCATTAAATTAATTTCAGATCATCCTGTAATAAAGCCTTTTCACATTCCTGACAAATGGTCTGTACTTATACGTGCTTTTTCTAAGTAAGGAGACTTAGAAAAAGCACTTTACACTATATTAAGTCATTAGGCAACGCAAGTGAAGTGTCATACTCAAGGACACAACAACAACATTGGCGTGGTGGAGGGAGGCTGGGGCTTGAACCATCAACCCTTCGATTTCATGGCCACTGTCATAAAGGGAAGTAGTTGTCAGAGAGATGTAGAAGTTTGCCCTGAAATCGAAGGGTTGACGGTTCAACCCCTGGCTTCAGCTTTTAGTGTCATCATGTTCTAGGGCAAGATACTACAACTCCATGGTCTGCTAATGGTAGACAGAGAGACTGGTGGTGCCAATGTACGGCAGCCTCGCTTCTATCACTGAGCCCAAGGACAGCTGTGGTTACAATGTAGTTTGTCACCATCAGTGTGTGCATGAATGGTTGAATGACTGAATGTAGTATACAGTGCTTTGGTCTGGCTGAATTTAAAATTGTCTATATAAGTGCAGGCCATTTCCCATTTTAACTACAAAAGGGGACACAGACACTGATCATTAGTCAGCGTCTGTAAACTGGATGGTTTGGTCAGCGGTTATTAGGTGCATGAATTATCATTTTCAATAACACAGCTTGGAGCAACTGAGCTCTAGGCTTCCAAATTCTGACCCTTAAAATAAAAATGTATGAGGTTAAGCATTCAAGCATTTTTTTATGAGTCTATAAAAGCGGTGCAATGGTAGTAACCAGCATCATATATGTGGTGTTATGTTTTTAAATATGTTTTACAGCATTGAATCGATTTATTCTCATAGCTATTTTTGGTACTTGGTATTTATTTATTTATTTTTTTTCTTAAGATGATCTTAATAGCCATCATAGATGCTACCCTAAGTGGGGTACCAACCCCAACTTTAGAAACAAGAGTAACAAGAGGTATTGACAGATAGGTGCTCTTATTTCTACTCACTGAATGAATGAGGAGGTGTCCAACAGTCTGCCTGTCGTGCCACTGGCTGACGCAGCCTGCAACCTGCTCCAAGAACTGTTCGTGGTGTTCCAGGATCTCTGGGATCTGATAAAACATCTCGTCCACCAGCAAAGGATCCACGATGGAGTTACCGTCCGGTTGTTTTAGAGGACGCATGTAGCCCTGTAGAATGAGAAGGACAAGTCAAGAACAGATGAGTTTAAATCATTTTAGGAGGATTGCATTAAAAATATTTATTAACAAATTAAATATCTCTCCAATCTCTACTTATACTAGGCCATAACAAATGAACATGCTAGAAAAGGTACATTTTTTATATCTGATGCTGTTCTGGGAGTGGAGCTAATAAAGGTATCGCTATCAATGCCACAATGTAGATCATTGGACAACACCATGCTGGTTTGGTCCTTTTATTTAACATCTGGTTTAGCCTCATCTTATAGCACTGTGAGTTGCAAGCAGTAAGATGAATATGGGAATAAATACAACATGACCAATCATAGTGAGGCCGCTTTCAAAAGAGTCAATTTGCTTCCAGTTTAGGACCTCAAGTAAAAATGCACCAGGGACAATTTAAAAAAAAAAAAAAAAAAAAAAAA